CACAAAGAGAGAGACCATGACATCATTTTTTAACAAATCATTATGGTACATTTTTATAATATTCTCATATTCATAACCTCTTGATATATAATACAGAAAAAACACACAATGTTGTCCGCAGGTATCAGAAGTATAATCTTGAACTTGTTTGTCCGAGTACTGAACGACAGTAGAATTGTTTTTTAGAAAGTTATGAAAAGATGCAGGAAAGCAATCTGCATCCGGTGCGTTACCAAAGCTGTCAAAAAAACAGGCGACGCCATCTCGACGTATGTATATGGCAATCCAGTGTTCCCCCGGTTCGTCTGAAGATTGTGTATTCGAAATTAGCATGCAAGGGGTATCCTTTAAAGGGTCTTCGGGTAGGTAATCGCACGGTAGTACACCTAAAAAATTTGTGTTACAGGAAATTTTATCCATCAGTCCCGTCAATTGCACGGTATTCATTACAGCTGTATTCAGTAGTGCTCTGCGAACACCTGTCTCCGATTTGATATCTCTATAATAGAGTCAAAGACTGAATATATTAAAATGTTAATTGGTTGTGCGAGGGGTACTCTGAAGCGTGCTTCTAATCTAATATTTCCTGATCTAATCAATGAAACGTGTTGACCACATTCCTCGTCGGGTGTCAGATTAAAGGCATAGAGAGTGTATCCGTGTAGGAAATCTTCACGATCTATGATCATAGACTGATTCTTTAGATGCCGACCCGTGGCTGTCACTAACTGATAAAACTCTCTCACGGCAGCCCCGTTATTATATTCTGGTTGAAAGGGACGCGAAGGGACCTGGGTCCCGTCACAGGTCAGAGTCAAGTATTCAAGGTCAAAGTGTTTAAAGGCAAAAGGATTCCTGTCATAAGCACCAGAAAAGGCGGTGTTTTCCGTCATGGCCAAAATGATGGATTTTGGTAGCGGCCCGAGGAAGAGATTTTCATGGTTAGATACACGTGCTCCTGCCGGTACGGAGAAATTTTTCACACAGACTCTATCTATGGGATATTTAGCTGTGGTCGAGAGAAGAGCTTGCGCATGTCCCAAACGCACTGCAGGGGATACGGTGACTCTTTTCACAAAAAGTGAAGCCGACAGTATATTAAGCTTATAATTGATGGCGTCACTACGTATCAGACAGAACTCGTCTTTCGCACGAGTTAACCGAATCCGTATATCCACTCCGTTCAATAATAATTTAGACTGAAAGAAGATGTCGCTGTGAATTGGAGCTAGTAGTTCTACAACACTACTGGCATTTGTGAACGCTGCTCTCTTTGTTAATCCCGCGTTCGCCCCTCCAGGATCCGTAGCATCTATGTGAGCCGAAGAATCTTTGTAGAATAAACCCGCTGAAAAGTTACTCTCGAGAGTGTCTTTTCCATAATTAACGAGGGCCTCAAAGAGACACCTGTAGGGATGCGTATTACTACTGTTACTGACGAGCCGGTCAGCTAAAGAGACGTCAACCTGTGAGAAAATCGTCGATCCAGGGTAATTAATTAAAGCCACAGGCGCTCCGTCAGGAATGTCATTTCCGTTCGGTAGGGTAATTTTGACGCGCGTATATAGCAACGTGTTATTCAGATCTGTGTAATCTTCACCGGCCCCCGCTATAAAGAATTCGATGGGTGATGCGTCTGTTAAAGCTGACACGGGGGTTATCTCCACATACATATTTTTTTCAATAGCTGTTTGTGTCAAAGGGACCGTAAACAGATCCAGCTCTGATTTAATGCACTCATCAGACATACAGTGTAGCAGAGACATTTTTAGAAAATAGTGATACCCCGTCTTTTTAAATCTGCAGATCTTTTCACCCGTTTCGTGCTAGTTCTTCGCTTGCTTTTTGTAACTGAGCGTGTTTTGCTAGAACGGCTGGTCTTCTTTACAGCAAGGACACGCCCTCTTCTCATACGGGTACCCGGTGGTTTACGTGACATCACCATCAGGCCATGGCCTTCCTGTCCATTTTCATCATTATTATTATAAGACTTTGTTAGAGCACTGGTGACAACATCACTCATTATGTTTTTAGCGGCTGACTTTAGATGTGGTTTTGCTATACTGATCCCCCTTCTAAAAAAAGGCATTGCCATTCGAAAAAGGCCTTTAAAAAGACCACCGATTCCTGAAGCAAAACCGGAGCCGTACATAACTCCGCCCCCTGCGTAACCCGGAAGGCCGTTACCTGCCTGAGCCCTGTAGTATGATATGTAGCGTTCGGGATCCACTTTGTACGGTGCGTGATGAGCCATTTTAAAACGGTTGGTGTTTCACAGGTCTAAAATGTAGTTTGGTAACAACCTTTCCGTAGGTGAAACGTACGTCCTGGTTTAAATCGTCTTTTACATCAACAGAGATCTCTGAGATGCAGCTCTTATTAACACGTACGTAATGAGCTTTTTCGTATCTGACACTGACTGTTTTGTTAGTCTCACCATCTATATATACAGTTGCTAATAAAGGTACATAGGCATCCCCAACCGCTTGATAGTCGATTATGTCCGTGTATACATATAGCGTGTAGAATCCGGCATTTATATCAGCCTGGAATGGCGCATATGTGATGTGCGTGTCTTGATGTTCATCCGAACTGTTTAGAGTTTCTATAGAAACCCCTGGTTTTAAACCTAGGATGATCGCTAGTTTGCCATAAAATGTCAACGAAGTCCCTGGGGGCGCTTTGAGAAATACCTTATTCTTTATACGGTCGTAGGCGAGACGTACCCTCTGGGGGAGAGTGACATTTATATCCCTGAGCAAAATGGGTACATCCTCAAAATACCCGCATTTTAACGTATTCCGACTCGTTGATAATTTTAGAGCATTCTGAAACGCATCGCCTCTTACATCGCTCAGTTCGTGGTTATTCTGTAGTAGACGTTGATCACAGACAATAATAAAAACAGAGTCATCCTCATTAAATGTATACCACGTCAATGGATATTTAAATTCAACCAATGCCACCTCCCACAGACCTTTTAAATTTATACTTCTAGCCAATCTAGTTCTGTAATTAGATATTTTGTTATCAGGGTAGATGTTCATCGAAGCGTTGCACGGAAGCGTGACGTAGAATCCTTCCTCGGCCATGGTAATTATTTAATGACGTCTGTCATGAATTCACTAAGGCTTTAACGGACCCTGTAGATCCATCACCTCTTTTTCAGCTATCCAACTGTTAAATTTGGAGGGCCAACCCCACCATTTGACTAGGACGTACGTGACTTTTCCACGTTTTTGTTTATGCAAAATCTTCTCAATCTTAAATGTTTTATCATCACTAACAATAATTTTCTGTAGTTCTTCCTCATAAAAACATCCATCGATGATTTCACCATCTAAGTCTTGTAACCGGTATACGGGAGGGACACGTGGAATGCATGCGGTTATGGTGAAGTATTCCTCCGTATAATTCTGCTCATACCCCTTAGTAAATATGCCTCGGACTTTAGAGACTCTAACAACGTCCCCTACAGAGTATTTAAAGACGGGTGTCTCTTTACGTATTTTACCGTATAAATTATTAAACACTACCGTCTCATTTTCTTTATGAACGTCCAGGGGGCGCATTTTGATGGATTTGTGATAACTACAATTATAACCCTCTGTCAGGTCTTGCAGTATATCGCAGTAACGTTTGGAGTTTACAGCCGTTAAAAACTTCCACATCCGTCCTTTTAGAGTTCTATTAAACCTCTCGACTACACACGCTTTTAAATCGGTTGCTGTGGCAAAATGATGTATGCCATATTTTTTCATCAGTAGTTGAAAATGTTTATTGAAAAACTCTGCCCCCTTATCTGTTTGCAACTTTATCGGTACGCGTCCTTCTTTCAAGATAGATTCGAAAGCTTTAGTCACCTCCAGACCCGTTTTATTTTTCAATGCACGTGTCCATGAGTACTTGCTGAACACATCGATAACTGTAAGAATAAATTTAATATTATCGTTCTCTTTTGAGTATGCGGTCATATCGACCAAGTCAGCCTGGAATTGATGATCCTTACCGTATACGACTACACGGTTCCGTTTATAATTTATTGGTGCAGTCTTGTGTAACGTATATACGTCCTGTTTGGACAACCATTCGTTAATATCCTTATCATTTAATTTCACGCCGTATTCCTGTAACACAGCCTGTTTTAATCTGTCCTTACCGCCAAAAGCTCCGGGGCTTGAGGGGTTATAGTAAACTTTTTTCATTAGCTCTGACATGTTACTATCTCTGTCACTCTTCATAAAATAATGACCCGTTGTCTTGATGTCACACAGATTTTTATTTCAGATATCTACACGGATCATCCGAAAATCAAAATAAAATTTACACACGTTTCAAAATTTTTCTCCAACATGTATTCAACTAAAATATCAATCATTTTACAAACATCGGGGTATTCATTCCTTGACAATTTACAAACATCAGTCACATACGTACAAAGACATAATATATTTCCTATTCTAAGAGATTCCTTGCATTCAGGCATCAGTTCAAGAATGTTGTTGATAGTCGTGCAAGGTATGTGTTTGACGGACATGTTTATCATATTATTCCATTGATTTGATATCCCTCTTACAGCGTTCATCTGATTCGATAAATTTGTCAGACGTTTATCAACCATAGTAACGTTATCACCTGTTGCATGATTATCATCGATAATCTTGTACAGCAAGTTTGATATCACACGTTTTACATATGATTTAAAGAAATGTTTGGCTATCCAGGAGGTGCAGCAGTTTCCCATCTTCAAACTGAGGTAGAATCAAGGTTTTCAGCATCAACTAGGGGTGTGACGATAACCGCATCACCGCGATATCGAGTTAATGAGATGCCTACCGCGGTGTGAGGTTCATAACCGCACTTTTTTTTTCTGCTGAAAGTTACCGGAGTGCAAATGATGTGTGATATGAACAATAAAAACATTAATCTTTGCTTATAATTTATTGTATTCAGCGAGTCCTTTTGTTCCTTGAACAATTGTTCAAGGGCTTCTGGAGAGAGAAAAAAAAACGCTTTTCTGCGCAAGGGAGGGACAGTCCATATGGGAGGGAGGGTATTTTTTGTGTGTCTGATTATTAGTATAACTGTTTGGTGTCAGTACTTGGGATGTTTACAGATAATGTTCAATTAAATACACACAAACACAAGCATAAAAGACAAAAGCATAACATAAACAGTTGGAGTTTGATTTTAATTGCATGCGATACTTCTCTTATGTGGTATAGTCAGGCAGTTGACAGCAGCCCGCAGCCGAAAGACGTTATTCAAAAAAATGGCCGCGAATCTGGTGTCTAAGCCAAATACTGTGTCGCCTATTTGGGCACATTTTGGCTTTGAAGCAGGTGAAAAGGGCCAGCCGGTGAATTTAGACGAGGCAGTATGCCGTATTTGTCGCAAAAAAATATCCGTCTCGCGAGGAAATACTACTAATTTAAGATCCCATCTGAGAATTAACCACCCTGCCGCGTTTGCTGGACTTGGGTGCAGCACACCTACAACCTCAGGCCAGCAACGACAGTTGGGAGTCTCCGAGGCCTTCGCGAGAGGTGCCAAATACCAAAGAGGCAGCGATCAGTGGCGAGTACTTACTGACAGCGTTACACGTTATTTGGTTGAAGAAATGGTACCATTTCGTACGGTTGAGAAGTCAGCGTTTAAAGCCATGCTACAGGCATTTGATAAGCAATATGTACTTCCCGACCGAAAATACTTTTCTCAAACAGCTATCCCAGAAAAGTATCTGTCCGTGAAGGACGGCATAATACAGGACTTAAAAGACGTTGATAATTTCTCAGTGACAACTGATATGTGGTCGAGCGTAAATATGATGCCATATATGAGCCTGACCATACACTATCTCAACGCTAACTGGGACCTACAATCAAAGTGCCTAGAGACCGTGTTCACGCCAGAAAGCCACACGGGTGAAAACCTGGCGGAAGCTCTCAGGTCTTCCTTCCATGAGTGGTCCCTGGACGAGAGGAAACTGGTCTGTATTACCACAGACAATGGGGCAAATATTGTGGCTGCAGTGCGCAAACTTGGCTGGACATGGCTAAATTGCTTTGGCCATAATCTGCATTTAGCCGTCACCAATGCACTGAAGGCAGAAAAGGACCGCACTGCCCGAGCCATGGGTGTGTGCAGGACATTGGTGACGACTTTCTCGCAGAGCTGGCAAAAGAAGAAAAAGCTGCAGAAAGAACAAGTCGAGCTCAATCTGCCCCAACACTGCTTAGTTCTGGTAAGTTGTGCTAAAGTTCGATTCTTATTTCTTTAGACGTTGTTTTTCAGGCATAAGTCCGTGGATGTAAATGCACTCATCCAAATGCAACTTGTTGAAACTTTTAATAATTTATTCTACAAAATAATGGGTTGCAAACGATGACAAAACCTGTTCCATAATTCCTATTAAACCCAAAAGATATCGAAACAAATAACAGAATTATATAAATAAATGGTATTTCATATTATTGTTAATATGTTGTTTATGATGTAATAATTATAATTTTTCAAAGGGAATACAAAATAACGAAATCTAAAATCCTGTAAATAAACTGGGCAAAATTTATGGAAACGCCAATCAATACTCTGAATTTCTGCTGCCCATTTTCATTATCAAGATAAGATACGATTTTGTTGATCCCGAGCTGGAGAAATTCGCTTGTTATAACAGCATATGGAGCCTTGCACATTGTGCAAAAAAAAAAAAAAAAAAAAACATATCTAGCCTATTAATTCGTTCCCTCATTTTATAAATCATGCGCACAATTTACTATTTCGTTTCCTCGATTTGCAAAATTATTTACTCATTGTTCCCTCTATTTATATAAATCGTGTGTACGATTTAGCCATTTTTTCTAATGTGCGGCGCTCCATAACATTAAACACAACAGATGGCAAAAATACACATATAAATAGTGGCACGATGTATAAATAAATATTTTTATTGCACAGGACAAAAAAAAAAAAAAAATCATAGCCTAATTGGGGTATTAATTTGTCTTATGTATTCACAGGATTGTCCTACCAGGTGGGGCACTAAGCAGAAAATGGTTGCGCGCGCTCTCGAGCAACTCCCAGCCATTAGGAGGGTGTTGATGGATGACCGGCGCAGCCAGCATTTGATACCGACGTGGCAGGACATCGAAGTCCTTGAATCCGTTAATGCAGCGCTGAAGAAGGTCGCAGATTTTACAGATGCGCTGTCTTCCGAGAAGACAGTTACAGCGTCCTCTGTTAAACCAGTCCTACAGTTATTAACCGAGGATAGTTTGCTCCCAACTGATGAAGACACGGAATTGACGCGCAACCTGAAAAGAAAAATGGCTGGGGTCTTGAAAGACAAATATAGTGCGCCTGCAACACAGCAACTATTGGCAAAGGCCTCATTCATTGACCCAAGATACAAGGACATCAACCCCGGAGATGACGTTAAAGATGCGCTCTTGGAGGAGATGATGGCAATGCCAGAAGAGCGGCGCGATATCGGGGATGGAGAAGGTGCCATGAGTACCGCTGCGTCTGGAGAGGAAGGAGGAGGAAGTGCGCCATCATCTTCGCCTCCTCCAAAAAAAAAAAAGAATCTTGCGGACCTGCTTGGAAAGAGAAAAGCACAATCCTCCAATCCGGTCCCAAAAAGAATCCGTGCAGATACCGAAGTCGCAAGGTATATGCAGGAGGACGCCCTCGATCTGCACTCTGATCCGCTTGCCTGGTGGCGGGATAATCAGGCTCGATTTCCTCTTCTATCGAAAGTTGCCAGAAAATATATGACTATTTGCGCAACGAGCACTCCTTCGGAGCGTGTATTCAGTGCGGCTGGCAACATTGTTACTCCGTTAAGATCCTCGCTGAAACCAGACAAGGTTAACATGTTGGTTTTCCTGTCACGAAACCTGAAGACCGAAAAATAAAGCAGCAGGACATGACATAAGCGGCCCAACAGCCGAACACTTGTTCAGAGTATTTTATTTTGCACTTTAAAAAAAAGTTGTTTATGTTTAACCTAATTAATAGTTAATTATTAATATTTACAATTGAACATGTTAATTTGTTGTTAATAAAGAAAACTGCTTTATAATTATTAAAAAAAGGTTGTTTACGTTTAACCTAATTAATAGTTAATTATTAATATGTACAATTTAATATAAATGTTAATTTGCTGTTAATAATAAAGAAAACTGCTTTATAATTATTAAAAAGGCTGTTTTAGTTTAGCCTAACGAATAGTTAATTATTTACAATTTAATATGAATCTTAATCTGTTTATTTGTTAATAAAGAATAATATTCTTTTATAATATGCTTTATAATATTCATTTCCATTGTCATTTACAAGCTACATGCGTTCTTGATCGTCTGCAGTGTGTGATGATGATGCGATCACGGTAAAAAACTAATTTTTGGCGGGGGTGGGGGGTGATAGGGGGGGTTTGGGCGGTTAACCGCCAAACCGCGAGATTTGTTGCTGCTTCACCGCGGTAAGAAAAAATCCCATACCGTCACAGCCCTAGCATCAACGTGTTTCCAGTTGTCAACAGCGTTGTATACGATCTGTTCACAGCTTTCGTCGACTACCTTCTGCCTGATAGATGCCAGATGCTCCACAATGTACATCTCATCTTTGAGCTCAAACAAAATGGTCTCCACAGCTCCCTGAATTCTTTGCAGGTGTGGGGTAGCCCCGTACAGATTCAAAGCCTGAGCTAAGATAGTTTTCAGCTCAGGTTTGAGGAGTTTCAGACTGATTTCGTCAAAACAATTGTAAAAATAATATGGTGTAGGCTCAAACAGGCACGAATGTCTTGTTTGGGATGGATGGTCTACGGTACATCCAGCGCAATCCTTCTTCATTTGCTTATCAATCAGATATTCCAGTATGATGGTAACGACTGCTTTAATAATCCTGTGGCCGGTATCACCAAGGCACCCGTCCAGCTCGTCACTAGACGTGGTGCCAGGAGTCTCGGCTGCAATAGTAGCAGTAGCAGCAGCAGTGGCAGCAGCGACGGCACAAACGTCAGCACCGTAGCTCGTGAGGAATGCGAGATTGTGAAATCCAAGTTCCGTACAAAATTTATTTAGCCAGTCGTTGCTTTGGTGGGGGTATCCATTTGTACCATATCCATCAACAGATCCGGAAGGGGGGTTTGGTGATGTGATATCCTCTTGAGACATGTTGTGTGTTTTGAGATAGAATGACTGCGTGGGAGGATATTAACGGTTGTAGAATTGGGAGGAGCTACTAGAACGCTCCTCCTCTAATCCTGCGTGAAGAGGCGTGGGGACTTTCTATTTCCACGCCCATCTTCATCACGTGTTGTGGGAGGGATCTAAGAGGCGGAGCTTGAGTCTGGTCACAGTAGAGAGGTTGGATATGTCATTGCTCTCTCTGACTTCGGCCTGTTAGGACGTGCTTTCTTGGGACTCCCGGGATTACATTTACACAAGTTTGAATCGGAGGACTTTTGGAATTATCTAAAGTTTTGGATATATACCTTTTGGATAAAAGCGTTGCTGTTGGATATATCTTTGGAGGTGATTAATCTTTAAACGGGATAATTTTGTTCTTCTTTCACCAAGAAAACAGAAGGTAAGTCAGTTTTTATGCTTTTAAGTTTTGATATCCTTTAATAATTGTTTGATGTAATGTAAATACACACTGTTTTAATATGCATTTTGATAACGTTTATTAATTATTTATTTTTACGTCTAAACAATTTAACATTTTAGTGTTTGAACATCGATAATTATTATTATAATCAATATTATTTAATACTTTTAAACTGTATGTAATTGTGTAAAAGTACATCATCAAATGTGGTTCACATGACCTCTCCAGAAGCGGAGTTGGTGGTGGTGAGGGGTTCCGTATCGTGGGAAAATTTTCCCACGATCACGTGACCAGTCCAGAAGTGGAGGTGGTGGTGAGGGGTGTTGGTGGGTGGTAAGAGGAGGGGAGACCGTAGGAATTTCCCACGGTCACGCGGTCAGACCGGAAGTGAGCGGGAGGGGTAAAAAAGGGGGCGGGGCTTATTTTTATGAGGGGCAATAAACCTGTCAGTTTGATGGGTTGTGCCTCATATCCTCTCTCTCAGTTTCTCTCACAGGTAAAAACTAACAAATAAAAACAAAACATTTCATATAATCTTACGCATGCGCTTCTTCTTCATTTGACCCAAGATCTCAACTTTCTTTTCCACTTATTTTTGCCTTACTAAATTTAGTCTTTTTAGGTTCGTTTTTCGGCGGGGTTCAATTCATTTAACATGTATTTGAATATCAAACAATAATTACCAACCAAGGTGACTGCTCTGTCAGGGACCACACGAAACAAATTAAGCAAAAGCTGCTTACCTTCTTTTTGGTCGACCTTTTGTTTCGCGGGGTCACCGGCAGGCGTCGTCACCATGGCCGCTCCCCTCTCGAAGCTCCTGGCTGGCGCTCGCCAATTATATTGTGGCAGATTTCCAGTCCCAATTCAAATCATCAAAGTCTGGTTCAGGTCTTGAAGAAATTGCTCAGAGTCGAGGTTTTAGGTCTCAGAAGAAGTAACTTTATTGAACAGTTCAACAAAGTGAGATGCCAGCTGGCCATCTGATCTTACAATGGTCTGCACTCATTTCTTATACCTTGTGGTAGCCAATTAGCACTTAAATCGTTATCTTTTCTCTCTTTGCTCCTCCTTATTACTCCTCCCAGATTACAAACAGCTGCATCATTATTTTATTTTTAATTGGGGCAAACTTCTTTGCGCATTGGTATCTCCTAAACTCCTGCATCATTATTTTATTTTTAATTGGGGCAACCTTCTGGCACATGCGTATCTTTTTAAAAATGGCTTTATACATGATTTTCAGGTACTTTTCCATGCCCTTTCACCCAGTTTCTTCTCCTGTCCTTACTTGACTTGCCTTTGCTTGGTATTACCTCATTCAGACACATGCACACTTCTCTGACATGTACATAGGACAAGCAGAATTCTCCAACAATAGCTGTGAGAAGAAGGGACAGAGTGGGTGTGGTATGGCCATCATTGTCACTTAAAAGCAGTGTTGTAGTCGAGACCACCTCACTCGAGTCCGAGTCGACACCGAGACCAGAGAGAGTTGAGTCCGAGTCAAGACCGAGTGAGTCCATAGAGAGTCGAGTCCGAGTCGAGTCCGAGACCAGAGACGGTCGAGTCCGAGTTGAGACCGAGACCAGTGACGGTTGATTACCTAATTTACTTTTATTTACTTAGAGAAATCCTTTTTTTTTTTTCTTTTTTTTTTTTTTTTTACTGAATTTACTTAGAGTTTAAAAAATATGATCAGTTTAGGGTAAAAAGGCCACATAGTAGGTGGTGTTAAAAGTAATTTTATTACAATTTGTCATGCGCAGTTGCGCACTAGAAAATCACCAATCACTGGGCGTGTCAATCAATTTAAAGAAATATTTTATTAACATACATTAATAATCATGAAAAATATTTTGAATTGAACTCGAGTGGACTCGGGAATAATTCCGAGTCCTAAAAAAAAAAATGTTCGAGTACGAGTCAATTCCGAGTCCAAATGGACACGAGTCCATGACAAGACCAAGACCATTAAAATATGGTCTGGAGACCGAGTCCGAGACGAGTCCGAGTCTCGAGTACTACAACACTGCTTAAAAGTATTGGTAAAACATGAGGAAATGCAAGTGTAACCCACTCGAAAATAGCTTACTAGCAGTTCATTACATTTTTAGTTTAGTATCTGATTTCTTGATTGCTTTAGTTGTGTTTTCCCTGCACACCATATTTGTCCAGTAGGTGGCAGTGGTGGCACTGCATAGAGAGGAAAGCTGATGCACCGACTCTCGGAGAAGAAGACAGAAACCGCGAACAGCAGGACGATAGAGCGAAGCCCTCTTTCCATTTTGGAATAATAGTTAAAAGGAAAAGAATATTTAAAAGTTAAAAGTGTTTTTCCCACCAAACCTACTTTTAAGGCGAAAATAACAGAGCAAAGGGTCGAAATTACAACGAGTTTACCTACTTTTGTGATTTTTCTCCGGTGAGTGTTTTATACATGCTCGTCATTTGTGTTACTAGCAGACATGGCGTGATAGATACGATTAATGAGTTAAGCATGTAAAAGTTGTTTTATTTTTTCTAGTTTGCTGTAACTCAGTTGTTTAATGCATTGTGTGAAAATGTATTGATGAGATATGTACTCTATAAGCTAAACAAAAACCAATGATAGATACGATTAATGAGTTAAGCATGTAAAAGTTGTTTTATTTTTTCTAGTTTGCTGTAACTCAGTTGTTTAATGCATTGTGTGAAAATGTATTGATGAGATATGTACTCTATAAGCTAAACAAAAACCAATCGGAGTTGAACATCAGTTATTTCATGCTATGTCATAGCTGTCAACCCTCCCGTTTTTTCCGGGTTTCTCACGTATTTTTGCTCTTTTCCCGCTGTCTTCCCGTTTTAGTATCTTCCCGTAAAATATCCCGTTTTTTTACTATGATTGTGTGAGACGTTCGAGCTCGGGCTGATTCGGCTTGAAGTCGTTTATCCTCGGATGCGGCGCCGCGCGCGCTGGCCGGAGACACACTGGCTGTGTGGCGTGTCCGTTTTTATTTCGGCTCCCATGTTAACAGATTAAGCCCCGTTCACACCGCCAGCGATTTTGTCGCTGTGTGTCGCTAGCTCTGTACTGTGATGTCGCTTGTGGGCGTTCGTAGTGCTGTCGCTCTTGTGTTATTGGTAGACTGCACGTCTGGCCATATCTATACAAAAGATCATCACAAGTGATATATAATTTTAATTTGACTGGGAATAAATGACTTTTAAGGCTAAAAAGAAACCATATGCTGTTGGGAGAGTGTTTTTATATCTCCACAGCTGTGTTCAGTGGATTAGTTAGTTAGTTAAGCTTTAT